CCCCCAAAAAAGTGCATTTTCCCCCCACCCCAAACGTTGACCTTTGACCCCGGTGACCTCCATCACGGGGTCAGAGGTCAAAGGTCACTCGTCTTGACCCCTTGACCCCGCCGGGTCGCCGGCCAGCAGAGCTTCTTCCAGTTTCTTCCTCACTCGTCTCACCCGCTCCTCCTGCTTCCTGCAAGGGGCAAAGGGCAAAGGTCAAAGGTCACGGGATCCCACAAGACCCCATAGGACCCCATAGGATCCCATAAGACCCCATAGAACCCCATAGGGCCCCATAGGACCCATAAAACCCCATAGAATCCCATAGAATCCCATAAAACCCCATAGGATCCCATAAAACCCCATAGAAATCCCATATAATCCCATAAAACCCCATAAAACCCCATAAGACCCCATGGGATCCCATAAGAACCCATAGGATCCCATAGGACCCCATAAGATCCCATACGATCCCATAAGACCCCATAAGACCCCATGGGATCCCATAAAACCCCATAGAAATCCCATATAATCCCAGAAAACCCCATAAAACCCCATAAGACCCCATAGGATCCCATAAGACCCCATAAATCTCCCATAAAACCCCATAAGATCCCATAGAACCCCATAGGACCCCATAAGATCCCATAAGACCCCATAAAACCCCATAAGACCCCATAGGATCCCATAAAACCCCATAAGACCCCATAAAACCCCATAAAGCCCCATAGGATCCCATAAGACCCCATAGAATCCCATAAAACCCCATAAAAACCCCATAGAAGCTTCTAGAACCCCATAGAACCCAATAGAACCCCATAAAATCCCATAAGACCCCATAAGACCCCATAGGATCCCATAAGAACCCATAAGACCCCATAGGACCCCATAAAAACCCCATAGAAGCTTCTAGAACCCCATAGAACCCTATAGAACCCCATAAGACCCCATAAGACCCCATAAAACCCCATAGGAGCCCATAAAAACCCCACAGAAGCTTCTAGAACCCCATAGAACCCCATAGAACCCCATAGAACCCAATAGAACCCCATAAAACCCCATAGGATCCCATAAAACCCCATAAAAATCCCATAGAACCTTCTAGAACGTCATAGAACCCCATAAAACCCCATAAGACCCCATAAAACCCCATAGAATCCAATAGAACCCCATAAAACCCCATAAGGACCCCATAAGATCCCATAAAACCCCATAGGATCCCATAACACCTCATAAGACCCCATAGGATCCTATAAGACCCCATAAGATCCATAAGACCTCATAGAAATCCCATAGAAGCTTCTAGAACCCAATAGAACGCCATAAAACCCCATAGAATCCCATAAGACCCCATAAAACCCCATACGATCCCATAGGACCCCATAAGATCCCATAGGATCCCATAGGACCCCATAAAACGCCATAAGACCCCATAAGACCCCATAAAACCCCATAGGATCCCATAAAACCCCATAAAACCCCATAAGAGCCCATAAAACCCCATAAGACCACATAGGACCCCATAAGACCCCATAAAAAACCCCATAAAACCCCATAGAAGCTTCTAGAACCCCATAGAACCCAATAGAACCCCATAGAATCCCATAAGACCCCATAAAACCCCATAGGACCCCATAAAACCGCATAGAAACACCATAGAAGCTTCTAGAACCCCATAGAATCCAATAGAAGCCCCCACAGAATCCCATAGAATCCCATAAAACCCCATAAGACCCCATAAAACCCCATAAAACCCCATAGGATCCCATAGAAGCTTCTAGAACCCCATAGAATCCAATAGAACCCAATAGAACCCCATAAAACCCCATAGAATCCCATAAAATCCCATAAAACCCCATAAGACCCCATAAGACCCCATAAGACCCCATAAAACCCCATAAAAACCCCATAGAACCTTCCAGAACCCCATAGAACCCCATAGAACCCAATAGAACCCCATAGAACCCCATAAGATCCCATAAAAACCCAAAAAACCCCATAAGACCCCATAAGACCCCATAAGACCCCATAAGATCCCATAGGATCCCATAAAACCCCATAAAACCCCATAGGATCCCATAAGACCCCATAAGGACCCCATAAAACCCCATAGAACCTTCTAGAACCCCATAGAACCCAATAGAACCCCATAGAACCCCATAAAATCCCATAAAAACCCAAAAAACCCCATAAAACCCCATAAGGACCCCATAAAACCCCATAGGATCCCATAAGACCCCATAAAACCCCATAGAAGCTTCTAGAACCCCATAGAACCCCATAAAACCCCATAAAACCGCATAGGATCCCATAAAACCCCATAAGACCCCATAAAACCCCATAAGACCCCATAAAAACCCCATAGAAGCTTCTAGAACCCCATAGAACCCCATAAAACCCCATAAAACCCCATAGGATCCCATAAAACCCCATAGGATCCCATAAAACCCCATAAAACCCCATAGAATCCCATAAGACCCCATAAGACCCCATAAAATCCTATAGGATCCCATAAGACCCCATAAGACCCCATAAAACCCCATAAAGCCCCATAGAATCCCATAAAACCCCATAAATACCCCATAAAAACCCCATAGAAGCTTCTAGAACCCCATAGAATCCAATAGAACCCCATAAGACCCCATAAAACCCCATAAGACCCCATAAAACCCTATAAAAACCCCATAGAACCTTCTAGAACCCCATAGAACCCCATAAAACCCCATAGGATCCCATAAGACCCCATAAAAACCCCATAGAAGCTTCTAGAACCCCATAGAACCCAATAGAACCCCATAGAATCCCATAGGATCCCATAAGACCCCATAGGATCCCATAAGACCCCATAAAACCCCATAAAAACCCCATAGAAGCTTCTAGAACCCCATAGAACCCAATAGAACCCAATAGAACCCCATAAAATCCCATAAAAACCCAAAAAACCCCATAAAACCCCATAAGACCCCATAAAACCCCATAAAAAACCCCATAAAACCCCATAGAAGCTTCCAGAACCCCATAGAACCCAATAGAACCCCATAGAATCCAATAGAAGCCCCCATAGAAGCTTCTAGAAACCCAGGAAGGCGTTGAAATCCGCGCAAGGTAAAAAAGGGATTTTGTGGGGGAAAAGATTTGGGATCAGAAAAACCCAAAATTGGGGGAATTTGCCCCAAAATGGGGGAGAGAAAAACGGAATTTTGGGAAAAATGGGGGGGAAAAATGGGGTGAAAAAGGGGGATTTTGGTTAAAAATGGGAACGGTGAAAAAAAGTTGAAGTTTTGTGGAGAGGAAAAAAGGGGGTGAAAAAGGGGAAGAG